CAGGATAATTGTCATAGGCATTTACAAGATGACGAGAGCACAACAAATCTTCTTCAGCACTGAAATCTAAAACCTTTCTTTCTTTTGTTGGAAGTCGATTTTCCATGATTTGCCACATGCCATTGATCCATGAACGCGTGAAGAAATATCTAATCAAAAAATTCTTACCAAAACTAAGAATCTCATATATATTTTTCACACATTCATTGATCGACTACAATGATCACATAACTTCAACCGATTTAACGAAGGATTTAAAAAACTTGCAACTCATATGCTTACATTATAAGAGGGTACGACGATTGTTTAAGAAGAACCAACCTGACTAATATTTCAAAAATACTTTCCCTAAATTATCCATTAAAAAAAAAAACATGAACTTGTACACAATACTTCCAACTTGGAGCAAAATAACATGGATCAAAATAATTTTAATTCGGTCTCAGCATCTTCAATTCCAATTAACTTGCTTATTGTATCTTCGACAAGTGTATATCTTTCTTTTACTTTTACACATAATATTATGTCAACTTAAGGTACAGAGCAACATCAACTTAAACCTAATCAAGCATTTTCAATTTGATTTTCATCAGGTATCATCATTACCTAGGGTATCTTTAAATTGAGACATCTTCATTTAATATCTATCAAGACATCAATAAACATATTTGTCTTGATTAACGGATCTTAACATTGAAACATATTTTCAACTAGCCTCAATTATAACTTCTTGTATTCAATCTTACTTACAAAATATTTGCCTCCACCTTGATTATAATGTGAGTTCCACCGTAACCAAAAACATCTTTAAGATTTTATTTGAATATTTTTAGGTTTGCTTCAATAAAGACATTTTTAACTCCATAATATTTAAGGTATCTTTAGTTTATCCTTTGTTAAGTTTTAAGCATCTTCAACTCGACTTCAACAATAAGACATTTTTAACTTAATCTCAACTTTGACCAAATCATCTTAATCTTATATTTGTTATGTATCTTAATTTCACTCTATCTTCATAATTATCTTTTGCTTAGATATTTGTATATAAAAATAATGGTTTTTTCATTTGAAATTATTATACACACTTAATAATTTTTTTATACAATATTATTTGTAGAGTTTCTCCTCCTACAACACAATTTTTTTCTATCCACTTAATCTCATGAATGAGATACCACATCAATTAAATTTTTGCATCATTGATTTAATAATGAATGATACGACAAACATCTTTTAAATAAATACAATTTTTTGTTTGCACATCAGTTCTAATATACATACATACATATATATATATATATATATATATATAAAAGTATTTTTTACGTATATTTTTTTCAATTGATTTGATTAATTAAAAAAGAGAGATGATTCTTATTACAAATTTATGGAAACACGAATCGTAGATATAAGTATACTCATAATCTCTATCAAAAACCGAGATCATAAAATATAATTTTATTTATTTATTTAACTTTCCTGAATGAAATAATGACTGGTGTATGTAGCCATTTATGACAAATAATAACTGTGTGCCTAAAAGAACACCTAAGAAAAGATTAATTTAAATTTTAGAATGATTCGATAACTAAAAACCCAACAGAAATAATATTTTGACATCCAAAATACATATAATCCTTATAAATAACTTTTTTTAATAACTTTTTTTTAATATTATAATAATAATTTTAATCTATTTTCATTTTTATTAATTATTATATTAATAAAAGTAGATTGTTTTGAGGGTTGTATGTTTTTGGGTCGTGAAAATATCAATTTTCAAATCCCAACATATGACGGCGGAAAAGTATGTATAAGTTTCTCACCCTTACACACTGGAATCGATTATGATTTGTGTTTCCTAAAGCGAACCCTTTCGCTGTGCATTGACTTTCTCACTACTTGTCATTTCAAGATGTTTGAATTTGATTTACAAATTTAGAATAAATCAAATGTACGTAACTTGAACGCCAAACACTGGGTCATGCCAATGTGATTATATTATATTCTGGGTCAAATGCAAAAGTCTAACTGCAACAACATTTAAATAACATATCTTATACATGTATATATAATAACACTGTTATTTATACACTCCTAATAGGAAATATGCGATAAAATAATTCTTTAATATATATTAAAATATGCGAAATAATTTTGAAGACTTAATACATTGAATGAAAAAATAATTATTGAGTATAAAAGAATTATTAATACCAAAATATGAGAAGAAAATCTAACTCTTGTTCAAACTTTACCTTTTCTGTACATTGACTAAGTCATAAGACCGCTATTGGAAGGGGAAAAAAAATATATATGGAAACTCCTGAAAACTAAAATTCAAATCCTTAAAATCATTTTATACTAAAAATGTAGTTAGTTTTCAAGTCCAATTAGCACCCAATATTATACGTGCCCAAGACATAGACTTTTATCATCAATATGTTTGAACAGATAAAAATGAAGAAAACTCGTTCGAGTAGTGTTTGTCTTTATTTAGGAAATATAATTTTTGAAGGAAGGAAAAGTTATCTATGTAATTGTTTCAAATTTTTATTTGATTATTTATATTGAGATAATATTTAAAGTTATATATATATGAAAAATGCAAGAATTTTTTTGTAGGTCAAGCACTCATTTTAATTCCTGAAAGATATTGGAAGTGACCAATAGAACTTTGAAAGAACTTTGATAGCATTAGGTCCTATAGTTTTCCGTTGTTACGCATGTTGGTGCTTTTACTGGGGTAAGTTATAATAACTTTATTAATCATATGAACATCATATTTTTATATTATAAATTATAATTCATATTTATATAAACATATTTTTCTCTTTTGAATGTACACTTATACATCAAATATAAATTTTCGCTTAATCATATCAAACTTATACATTCTATTTATTTGTATAACTTTCTTAAACCACACTTGTTTTAATTTATTAATTTGTATATTTATCTTTAAATTAGTTTTAATAAATATTTTAAAAGCTATATAAATTTTTGGTATCTCTAAAATTGGTCCCTATTAAAATTCTTACCTCAAATTTGTTTAAAGATTTTGATACCAGTATTTAATAAACATGCGAAGTTAATTTTAACATATGTTACTTCTTATTGATATGTTTTTTTATTTTTATTTTTGCAAGTTATTATATTACAAATATCTGTCCAAAATATTAAATGCCAATATAATCAATTCAAGAATAATAAAGTTATTAAATTTGTATATTAAAAAATTCAGATACGAATTTTAATATATTTTAAAAAAAACTACCAAAAATTTATTTTGTCTTATTTAAAAGGATAGCTTTCTACAGAAGCCAAGTCCAATAAATATTATTGCTGATAAATTCACATCCATTTATCTTGACAGATTTTAGAAAGATTAATAAAAAACTTACGAAATTACACAACTCTTCAAACTATAATTATTTTCCTAAAAAACCTTTATCCACTTATACAAACATGCTAACCATATTACACGCCTTTTTCTTTCGATTTTTTCCCACCCATTTCCATGCATAAATATATCCTTCCACTCCCAATCGATGTAGGTTAGGTAGATACGTCGGATTGTGTTATCAAAACATTTTTAATGGATAGGTTTTTCAATTAATAATCTTTTATCTTTAGATTGATGTTACACATTTGCCACGTGTAAAACAAAGTATATCTCTCTCCGAATGTGAACTAAAATATTTGATGGTTCAAAAGTACTCCTTGTATTTCACTCATTTTGACTTGTTAAAAGTTTCGTTATTTCCCAAATAAAAATATATTGTCTCAGGGGTTTGTTTTAACCTCTAAGTTTAAACCAAGGGGTTTTTTTTATATCTATCAAAATATGACTGATCCATTTGTTTGAAAGATGATTCGTGCATTGAACGAGCAAAAGTCATCTTAGCCTCTAGTTTTAGATTTAGAAATTGTTTAGTGTGTTAGACGGTAAAATGCTCTAATATATTGGAATCGCCGACTGAACGAGTACATGATTCAATGGTCAATTAAAAACACTTGATAGGCCAATATTAACTCATCTAGGTCACCGTTCTTGTCTTCTTTGGTGGCAGTAATGTCGGGAAAGGAATCTGTTAAATCCTAAGTCTCTAAACCCATCTTTGTTTGCTCAGCACGTAAAAGAAGAACTATATCAGTAATGGTCATACTTCAACAAAATCAGATCCAATGTTAGTTGGAGCCTTCCAGCAAAATTAGGTATAACCATTTTTTTCAACTTTATAACATACGCAGCCAAGTATGACATGGTGACCCTCAATTATTTTTTAAAAATTATTTATATTGCTAACAAAAATTGTGGCCAACCTAAAATATTAGAAAGAAATTTATCTTTTTTGCATTAAATAGTTATATTTCACACACACACAAAGTTACGTAATAAATTTTTTACTAATTAAGCTGTATTGTTTTTATTCTTGACATCCTTATAATTTAATATGCTGACTCTGACTCAGCCACTGCTTCGACCAGAACCAGAAGAAACGCATATAATTCGCAGACACTCCTGAATTCACAAGGAATTATGTATATAATTAGTATATTAAAATAGAAAATAAAGTGAAATAAATAAAACTCCTCCTCTATTGTTATAAAAGAAATAGAAAATAATCGTGCTTCTCGTTAAAGAGCTCAATACATATAATTCGAATGGGTTGCATTTTTTTCTTATTACCAAATATTAGCATAATATAACCATTAACCTGAAAGAATATTACACATGTTCCAGATAATTAATATATATATTGTGTGATGAGACTATCACAATTCATCGAATTTGAATACAAGAATTAAAGGAACTGGTATTGGAAAAAGCATTTACATGTGGAAACATGAACTACGCTAAAAAAAAATAAAAAATCTACAGCCACGTAAAACGTGAACGAGAACGTAATTGCTCAGTCACATATCACGTAGAACAATTGGGGTTGATCATTCGGTGGCAGCGTCCTTAGATTTTCTTCTTCTTTAATCTAAAAGGACTAATCTGTGTAGAATGAACGTGAAGGACTTAGGGATGTGTGGGATCTCCACCTGATGGTGGTGCTGGAGCGTTTGGAAGGGACTGCAAAAGAAGGCCATAATTCCACGACCATTGATAATGCAGGAACAATGGCCTGCAAGCTACTCCAGATTCTGGAGAAGCAACAAAAATGACGAGGGTGAACAGAAGAACCTGCAAAACTGTGAAGAGGATCCTCCTGTGAGAGAGAGCCATTGATAACTAACTATATATCCTCTCTAAGTAAATGAGACAAAGTGCTTTGAATAAGAACTTTCAAGATATTGAACCCTTCAAGTAGGCTAATTCACCGGTAGAATAGAGAATATTTTCTAGAGAGAGAATATGAGCTATGTTTTGTGATATGAAAATGGAAGGGGATAGACACACCACGTTTATATAGAGGTTGTGTTTGAATTTTTTAGTGCATTGATTTGACTATGAATGTTTGAAGGTTGAAAACATACCTTGGACTCCAAAGCACCATATAAAAAAAAAAAAAAAAAAAAAAAAGATGACCTTGTCAAAAAATATATAGAAATTACAAAGAACGTACGCATGTATGTGTCCAATTAGGTTAATTAAATACTAACGAACACATTTAAAAACAACTAAATAGTTAACGAAATATTCAACGATGGTGTCACATTAATCTCAGAGATCCTTTCGTTAGGGCTTAAGACATTTTTACTTAAGTGTTTATGTTAAAGGGAACAACATATTTTATTTGATTTTTTTAATACGTGAATGCAAAACATGAAGAGTAGAAAACGACACGTGGTTGGAGCGGCAAATCTGATGATACTAACGAACGATCGAGGGAAATTCAAATCCAAGTGACGGGAAAAACAACTTTTGATTAATTCAAAACATAGGAAACAACATAGGAAAAGAGTGAACGCACTAATATATTTGAAGACGACCTGATCAAAAGCGAGCAAAGAAAAAGCAACTTGGCACCATCTTTGTTATCAGAAAGTCGTACATGACCAATTCACCGTCACCCATCTAGGTTTCATAGAGTGAGAAAATATTTTTTTAGATTCTAGCTTTTCTAAGAAATATAAACATTTATGGCAGCTTTTGTTAAAGGTTTATATAAAACATAAATAAACAAAAATTATGCTTTTTTTTATAATTTATTAAGGACGTAAGATATATTTCCCAACCTGAATATATCTACCCTATACGTCACCTTTTTTGTATTAGATCTTTTGTCATATCATGTACACATTTAATAAATAAAAGTTAAATAAATAAATAATTTATTAAATGCGGAAAATAAATGTAAAAAGTTTTGACTTTTCGTTGTGTATATTCATATTGTCATCATGATGAAAATGAGTTTCCATCACATCAGCAAATTGAAAGAACAAGCAAGAATAAATATTTTTAGTATTTTACTCATTGTCAACAAAATTCATGAGCGTGAAATACAAAGGAGTGCAAATAGTAATACTAATGTTTGTAATGTGATGGGCCAAAGGAGCTTATGTTGGCCCATTTTGATAGGTCAAAGTACTTATCAGTACGTATCTGAGGAAAGTACTGAGAAAGAAGTATACAAATACCAATTACAAAGTCAAATATATTTTATTGTATTTCCCCATAAGCAAATAATTAATAAGATTTTTACAATAAATCGATACGTTAAAAATAAAGTTCTTCTGAAAGATATTTTATTAAAAAATTTATGTAAATATTAAGCAAAACTATACTCTATGAATGAAAATAGACATATTATAATATATTTAACTTTGAGGGACCTATATGTCTATAAGAGTACTACAATTAATTATTCTTCTTGGAATACCAAAAAAATTTCTAAAATAAGTACAAGATTTTGGTGGAGCCAAGTCAATTTGTTAAATTGTTAGTGGAGTTTTTTGTAAAAAAATTTCGTGAATTCTATAAAATTAATAGAAAAATCTACTAGAAAATTATTTTATACAAAATTTTACAAAAAGAATTTTTACACAAAATATAAACAACATTAGCAGAAAATATGAACGACGCGAAAGTCCGAATTCCATTGACGCGAATGACATACACATGGATAGTAATTATAATGTCCATAGTTGCATTTCATGTACATAGATTTGTTAGTTACATGTTAATTAAATAATAAAATGTACATATCATAAATTAATACGACTTTCTTGACAATTAGTAAAATAAAAATATCATCTTATTACTAAAATAAAAATATCATTAAAAAATTAATATTAAATAAAAAAATATCCAGCATTTTTAATCTGATAGAACACATAGAATAAAATAAAATAAAACCTAGTATAATTTATTAATTACAAACGATAATGTTTTGATACTAATTATTACTAAACAAAATTATGAATCAACCTTGATCTAATTTTCAGATCAAGGTATTTTTATTCACAATAAAATAATAATTGAAAATAAGTTAGATTTTGACGAGTGAACTTCCAACAGAATATTCAAATTCTCTTTTTATTTTTATTTTTTATTGTTTAACAATTAAGAACAAGAGAGAATGTAAGGATATTGGTTGGAGCGAAAATATTGATGAGGAGACCGGCAACTATCTATATGAATAACAATAATGTTACTTTTTTTACACAAGTTAATGTTACAGACGATAACTTCTTTTTTCTGGTAACAGTGAAATTAATAATGAATTAGAGAAATTAATTTCTGTATGTGTATTTTTTTAATTATTTTTCACTAAATACAACCCAACAAGATTTATTATTATCTTGTACTGTAGAACTAACAGCATATATACACTCTGAGATGGTTATAAATGGAGCTCAATAAAAGAATTTTTTATGGAATCTGAATACTATAGAAAATGGAATTGACAATACAAAATCTGAAAGCAATTCAAATACATCTTTAATTTTATTGTATTTTTATCATTTTGATAAAATAACTGTAAAAAGACTCTCTTTCTGCATATTTCATGATTTACAAGAAAAAAAAAATTGCTTGACGACCCATATAATCATTAAACAACTCAAAATAACACTGACATTTTGAGTTATATAACGATTGTGTGGTTTGTTAAACAATGGTTAGTCTTTAAAAAAATGTTATTAACTGTTTGCTATGCAAACCACTACACGTTACAGCCACATGAATGAAATTTTAAATAGTGTGGGAGAATGTATATTGAAGCAGAAAGGAAGGTGATATATGCATATTTGAAGACGAGGGTGGTGCTTCATTACATTGCATGAAGGGTTAGGTATGAATGGGATCACCACCGGAGGGTGGAGCAGGAGCGTTTGGAAGCAACTGCCAGAGAACCTCATCTTCCCTCGACCAGTGACGATGTAAGAATAATGGCCTGCTGCAAGCTACTCCTGATTCCGGAGAAGCAACAAAAATGAAGAGGACCATCAGAAGAAGCTGCACAACTCTGAAGAGCATCTTCCTGGAAGAGAAAGTCATCATGTTTGTATCAGTATGTTGTTCTCTGATCTGATTTCTCGGAATAAACGAAAAACAGAAAGAAAAGTAAGGGTTGTTCTATGTACCCTCGATGTTTCTGAAGGAGTTTGTGTAATGGTATATGGTGGGAGTAACGGAGACACGACACAACGTTTTTATACAAGTTGGAGTTGGATTCTCTGTAGCTTGCTTTGACTGTGAATGCTTTGAAGGTTGAAAGTTTGGAAACGGTCCACACCTATGACGCGCAACGTGGCCTTGAAAAATAAGACTCTAAAAATAAAGAAGACTATTTAGTTAAATTTTTTTTTTTACTGTATTTTATGAAGTCTTTAAATTTGTTAACGACTAAACAATCCTTGCAGTGCCATTATAATTGATATGGTGTTATTTTACATCAAGTAAATTCATAAAAATATATAAAATAATAAATATGCGATTTTAGTGTCTCCAATCCCAATTGTAAACAATTGAATACTTTAAATATGGTGATATTCAATGATAAAAAACACTTTTTACAATGTTTATACGACATGATTAGACTTAAGATTGCGCACTTATGAGAAACCAAAAATGGTAAGGTTCAATCAGGCCTAAGAAAATAATAAAAGAAATTTTTGACCCATAAAAAAAAATTATCCAAGATAATAACCGAAAAAAAAAATTGTGTTTTAACTTTTGATACTATATTAAGATTCGGTCATAAAATTAATTCACAAAATAAGAACCGGGGCATGTAAGACTTCCACCACCGTATAATTTAATTTTGGCGGACAATAAACATTCCATGTTTGTAATGATTATATCTCGATGCAGACTGCAGTTGCCAAACATGCACACAAGTCTTAATGCCAACTCCTATTTCAAAACTACGTTAATTTTAATCTTTCAAACTGATTAATCATCAATTTTGAATAAAATAACAGTTTTATTTTCATTTAGGGGCAAATGAATTACTTTAATATTTGAAATTCGTGCTAATAAAAAATGTATTTTATTGAAAACGTGAGATTAATTTAATAAAATTATTTTAATCATTTCTATGAAAACATTTCCTTAATAATTCTGATTTTCATTTATCACACTTATAATTTAGAACTTTTTATATCAAATTGTGTATTACTCCCTTCATATTTCAGATTAAATGACATTTAAGATTTTGTACACATATTTAGAAAAAATAATATATAACGTGATTAGTAGATTAATTTTATTAAACGTTCTTTTTTTTCCTATTCCTATTATGAAATTACTCAATGATATACGAATGCGCACTGCACAACTACTATATATATTGTTCATCATCTATGATTATTAATTTTTTTAATTTACAAATGAACAAACAATGTTAAGTACATTATTAAGTATTTTAACTGAATATGTATTTCTTTCAGAGGAAAACTATGATAAAAAAGTTTTAATATTCTATGTATAATATACCTTGGGGGATTATCGAATGATCAGTTTTGGAGACACATATGGATAATATATTGTATAGCAAATTTAGAGATGAAATCAATTCATTTTGATGACCGAAAATGTGAAAGAAATTTGTTTTGAATATATTTGAGTTTCTATATGGATTAGCTTTTGACCAAGCAAACATGACAATGGCATGCTTAATGCTAGCATACACTGTACACTATAATAAAACTTAGAAATTATGCAAAGAAAGTTATGAGTTGTTTCGGGATTTAAGGGATTTATAACTTAGAATGTATCAAAGATACGTAACTCGAACGGCAAAGTGGTGATTCAAAGGAGAGAATTTGACATGGTTCAAAAGCAAATGAAAGTAGATAATCAATTCAAGACACAAGGAAGCAACCTAGGAAAAGAGTGAATTTATATATAACACAACAGCCGCATCTTCTTCACGGTCTTAGGGTCATATACATGAACATTACACTTCACCTTCTCCAATCTATAGTTTTTTTTTTTCCTTTGCTTTGATCCAATGACTCGTCTAGAGGGACTTAATTTTCAAAGTATATATTAAGGGTAAAAGAATGTATATTACAAACAAACAAAAAATTATGTAATAATAGTCGTTAGACTTGGCCCCGTATATATTTTGTTTAATAAAAAGATTAGTTCATCAGATATTTGTCATATATGTTTGTCCTTATTAATAAACATTTTGTCTAATACAAATCAAATAGTAAATATAAATATCATTGATATATACTAACATTACATTAGTAATACAATATATTTTACTGTCAACATGTCTAAAAATATCAACTACTATAAGGGGTCATGGAACAACAAATTATTAGTCTATCAATAACCAACAATTAAAAATACCAAAGTTGGTAAAAAGAGAATGAACTACTACATGTCCATACCAGTTTTATAATATTTTGTTAAATGTAAATTAGAATAATATTTTTCGTAAACGAAAAGAGAAATGTAGTAAGTTCATGGATGGTCCTATGTAGTAAGTGTTGGAAAATTAATAATAATAATAATAATAATAATAATAATAATAATAATAATAATAATAATAATAATACTGATTTTGATTCTAACGATCAAACATAAACATAATCTCATACTGATAAACATGTTATAAACTGAATGCGAAAGCGTACCTGAATTAGCCATAACGATGATGTCTTTGTAGAGCACTATATTGATCTTACGGTCTTCCACCTGAAGAACATTTGTATTTCCCTCTTGATTTTCTCTCTTGATGGGGATAGAAAGGAACGAGATTGATACTTACGTTATGTGTGTGTGCTCCCAGAAGGGGACCATGACCCTTTAGATAACCAGAATTAGGTTAATTACTTAAGTTTTAGTATTTCCAATTTGGCCCCTCATCAAATTAGAAATTGTTCAATGGTCTCTACACAATTTTATTTTCATGACATATGCTTTTAGCCAAAATTTTAATTTAGTCAGATCACTTTATTATTTGGCTTAATAAATAATGACCCTAACACATTTAAATTATGTATCATATATATACATGACCCAAATTTTGTCAACAATCTCCCACTGGCACAAATATATATGTCCTTACAACCTTACAAATGTGTTAGACTTTATGAGCTCAAAATTGCCATTATATTCCTTTAGCGTACTCCAAAAGTCCTGTCAATTAATCATATCAGGATATAGAACCAAACCAGCTTTTCATTGCATCATCGCAATTAAAACCAACAATGATTACTCATCCTAACATAACCAAATGACATGGATTCATCATGAAATGTGTAGCATGAAAAATTACGTGAAGGTGATCTGTACACGTCTATTTTCAACTAGTCCAAACTTTAACTTATCGAGATCGATATAATATCCTTAATGTACAAAGTGTAATGAATGAACGAAAAAATCGCATATCTATAGATAACCAAATATGTCCAAAAATCAATGTATACATATATGAAATTAAACATAGAACATAAAATATATGAAAGTGACTAACTCCCACTAAACCACAAATTCCTCAAACTGTAAAACACCCATGTGAGCAAAATGCTCATGAAAGACCTTGGGCGGAAGTCCTTTAGTTAGAAGATATGCTATCATGGAGTTTGTCCTTAAGTGTTCTATGAAAATCTGTCCACTTTGTACTCTTTCCTTAACAATACAGCTGATTTATTGTCATAATATAACTTAAGTGGTCTTTCAATACCTTTCACAATTTGCAGCCCTGTGATAAAATTTCTCAGCCATATTCCATGATTTGATGCCTCATAGCATGCTACAAATTCTTGACATCCTACAAAATCTGAGTCAGAAAACTCAGCGATCTCCAACTGGTCTGACCTCCTATATGTGAGCATATAATCTTTTGTTCTCTTTAAATATCTTATGACTCTTTTTGCTACTTTTCAATGGTCTATTCTTGGATTGCTTAAATATTTGCCTAGAACCCCAACTATATATGTTATGTCTGGATGCGTACATACTTGGGCATAGATCAAACTCCCTACAACTGATGCATAGGGAATCTTTTGCATTTCCTCAATTTCCAAATTTCTCTTTGGGCACTGATTGAGACTAAACTTGTCTCCCTTTAAACTTGTGATACATACAATCATCAACAATATTCATCTTGAAACCAAATGAGTTTCATACCTTCTGGTAATGGGACAAGTTCCCAAACCTTATTGTCTTGCATGAACTTATATCTCTCCTTCATTGCTTCAATCCAATTTTGAGAGTTAGAACCTTGTATAGCTTGACGGAAGTTAACTGGGTCATCTTCCATTATATCATTATTTTCCTCATGTTCCTGAAGAAATACCATGTAATCATCCAAAATAGCACTTCTTCTTTCTCTAGTGGATCTCTGCAAAGTTATTAGCTCATGATGCACAGGTTCTTGAGGATCTTGAGTTTGTTCTTCATGAACAACCAAATCATATTGAGTAAGGGGTTCATCAATAATGTCTTGTGGAGGTTCCAAACTTACTTTATCAAAAGTAACTATTTGAATCGGTTCTGGAATTGTTACCGATTCTTCCTCCAAGACAAAGTTCCTGATTTTATTCTTCCCCCCAAATTCAATATCCTCAAAGAACGTAGTAGTTCCCGTCTCAAAAATTGTCTTTAATGTGGGATCATAAAATTTATATCCACTGGATCTTTCAGCATAACCAATAAAATAATTACTTACTGTTCAGGAGTCCAATTTCTTTTCATTTGGCTTATAAGGCCTTGCCTCAGCTGGACATCCCCACACATGGAAATGCTTCAGACTAGGCTGTCGTCCAGTCCAAAGCTCATAAAACGTTTTGGTAGCTGCTTTAGTTGGTACTCTGTTTAGAATATAAACTGTCATATTTAGTGTCTCTCCCCAAAGTGATTCCAATAAGGTGGAATGACAAATCATACTCTCTACCATATCTTTAAAAGTGTAACACAAACCCAAACGTTACAATTTGATGTTACCTGAGCACTTGTGCCATAATGCACTTGAGTGAGTATTTTCAATTTTACGTTTAGTACCACATGATTCTGTATTAAGGGTTTCATTATAGGTG